TTGTGATCCTCAGACAAGAGTTTGTCAGAAATTGTTGACTGTGGTCAAGTAGGAAGTGGATAAGTTTACATGGGTTACTAAGGAAGTTAGAGATAGATATTCATCCATCGAAATGACGGAGTGTGTTTGCGCCGAAAGGTGATGAACGTACCATTTCAGGGTTCATCGCTGTTAGAAGGGAACTGGGTGAAATGTTGATATGCGTTTCCACCATGTGATTGTGTGTTTGAAGATGTGTTGTCATGGTGATTGTTCATTTTTGTTTTCAGGACTGTGATCATTAAGGCCTGCCCTTTATCCTGGTTTCTAAATACTTTGAGTGGATTTATTTGGCTTTCCAAAAAAACAATTATGCTGGGGTTAATTAGATTGGTACTTTGTACTTTACTTCTTTTCTCTATTGATTTGTTTTTTGTGCTTATCCTTTTTGCTTCTCCCTCCCTCCCTCAGAATGTTCTCATCCACCTTTGTCTCTCTCCTGCCCCTTCCCCTTTTTCTCCCTCCCTCCCTCCCTCCCTACATGTCATATACCTCCCCCCCCCCTCTCTCTCTCTCTCTCTCTCCCTCCATCACTATAACTCTCCTCTCTCTCTCTCCCTTAGTCTTTCTTTCTTTCATTATTTCTTTCTTTCCCTGCCCCTCCATTTATTTTGTTTTTGTTCCTTTTTGATTCCCTAAATATGTCCCTATATTGCTCTTTATCTTTACCAGATTACGGAGGCTTAAAACTTCCCCAATGCCCCTCCCTCGATTAGCACTGCTGATCAAGGCAAAATCATTCTAAATAATTGCAGAAGTGATAATTATCTTCACTCCCCAACAACACATTGTTTTTGGCTCCGTATCATTTTCCCTTTTCCTCCTTTGTTTTTCTTTTCTTGTTTTGCAACCATTAAGCTTCTCCCAGAACTTTTCAAAAAGTTTCCCTTTGTGTTACAACCAGTAGGCTACATTTGGACATTTTGAAACAACTAGTCAAACAATGTTGGGTCAGTCTGAATAATTGCAGATGGTGATAATCATCTTCACTCCCCGTCGACAAATTTTTGGCTCATCATCATTAACCCTTTCCCCCTTTGTTTTTCTTTTCTTTTTTTGTAACCATTAACTTCTCGTAGAACTTTTCAAAAAGTTTCCCTTTGTGTTACAACTAGTAGGCTACATTTAGACATTTTGAAACGACTAGTCAGACAATGTTGGGTCAGTCTGAATAATTGCAATGGTGATAATCATCTTCACTCCCCGTCGACAAATTTTTGGCTCATCATCATTAACCCTTTTCCCCTTTGTTTTTCTTTTCTTGTTTTGTAACCATTAAGCTTCTCCCGAACTTTTCAAAAAGTTTCCCTTTGTGTTACAACCAGTAGGCTACATTTAGACATTTTGAAACATGTAGTCGGACAATGTTGGGTCAGTCTATTTAATTGCAGCGGTGATAATCATCTTCACTCCCGTCGACAAATTTTTGCTCATCATCATTTTCCCTATCCCCCCTTTGTTTTTCTTTTCTTTTCTGTAACCATTAAGCTTCTCCCAGAACTTTTCAAAAAGTTTCCCTTTGACATGTTACAACCAGCAGGCTACATTTAGACATTTTGAAATGACTGGTCAGACCAGTGCTGGGTTATCCCCACTTGCCGCTGTCTTCTGGAGATAGAGGATGTCGGCCATGATGCAATCATATTTGATCAGGCCATTGTTGGTGACCCTATTGCCCTAATGCATATGAATCATCATTAGTAATCAGTGCAATTATTGCATCATCAGTTACTCATAATGTTATGCATGACCATACATGTGTATTCATTTTTTCAAATTCATACTGGATTTATAGTTGTACCAGTTATTGGTATGCACGAAACTTGATCTGGTACTAAATTGGAAATACTTATTTTGCATGGTGAGTAAAAATACTCAACAAATAGGAAAAAATAGGAAAGTTATGGATTTTTGAAGTTGTCATCAGTGAAACACTATTTGACAACACTGTGACGCATCTGGCAAGCTCTTCTCGAATTTGCCCTGTACAGAAAATGTAATAAACTTTTGTATTCTTAGTTTTTGATGTCTGAATAGATTTGTTCCATACAGGGGTTGTATAAAAACATATTTGCAATAATTATATTTAGAGTGAATTGTATGATTGAAATCTTCTGAAGGGAAAATATAAATTTCTAAAGTTTTTTAGTACAGGGCAAACAAGAGGGGGCCTCGCAAGATACACCACAGAGTTGCCAATTTGTGTTTCAAAAATGTGCGACTCTCCTATTTTTAATCAGATCTTGCTCAAAATTTCACCGACCTGTTTCTCTCATTTTTCTGCTTCTATTAAAATCAACTTGATATCAGGGTGGACTTCCCATTTAAGAAAGTCTATTTATAGTAATCATGGTTAACCCCTATGGCCCTAAAAGAGCTAATTGATTAGAAAGTTGCAAAAAGAGATTGATTTTTTTTGGATCCAGAAGGGTGTTAAAGATAAACTTGAGTTCTGGTAAAAAAAAAAAAAAATGAATTCTCACAGAATATAACTAAACTTACATTGAATGTTCAAGATTACAAATAAACGTCATGTGCCAAACAATTTTGGAAGAAAATATATACTGGCTGAGTAATGAGCATAGAAAGATAAGGAAATCAAGGTAGCACTAGCCACGACACCATTTGTGTTGTCCCATATACATCTTTCTGTGTACAGTGATTGTTACTGTACCAAGACTGGGCCAAATTTATGATGATTTTGATGACTCCAGAACCTTGCATTACACACCAATAGTTACATGCTATATGATCAACTTTTCTGATCCATCCCACACCTTTTCTTTCACAAAGCAATCGCATTACCAGAACTCACCTTTATCTTTAACTGTGTATAAAGAGTGTGCAAATAATGCCTTTCTGTCTCCAAACATACAAACAAAGTAACAACTGACATTCTAGGTCAATATTCCAAGGCATCATCAACATGAATCCCTTAGTCACGATTTCCCTTTAGTTTGGGATTTCCATCGGAGAAGAAAAAAAACCGGGGAATATTTTTTGTTTCATGGCTTATCAATGTCATTACATCATGACTGATGAGCTTAACAAGCGGTAGTACTTGTAGCTATGTTTTTCTTCCGCGAATGTTTCCTGTCACGAGAGGAAGTAGAACGAAAAAGGAAACCACAGCTTCGGACGTGCCTATGACGAGAATGGGAAGTAGTGTGGAAGTACGGGAAGAACAGCCTCTGTGGGAATGGAGTCATTAATTAAATATTATGTCATTTTAATTTGAAGAAGAGAACAAATTCTGTGAAAATTACAATATAATTACAATATAATTACGATATTGTTCACCCCAAAGTTCTTTGGGGATTTCAGTAATTTCTGATGTTTTTTTTACCCAGTAGTCTTTTTAAAAATTTGAGAGTTTGTCAGGAGGTTTCCCTAGTTGAATCTCTCTTTGCTCCCCTTTGTTGTGGTTTTTTTCACAAAAGAATCCATGGTTTTTCCCATTATTCGCATTGGTATTTTTTAACATGATCACGTAAACTTTCAAAATTTCATTCCAAGGCAAATCTCAATAGCCGTAATTGTCCATCGCCCATCAAAATGTACAAACTTTACAGTGATGCATCATGTAGTTGGAACATTATTTTTATGGGATATACAATAGCTAGGGTATTGATTAATGAAATTGCCCTTATATTTATTTCTATTTTGAAAATAATTGTGATTTTTTTTTTTTTTTTTTTTTTTTAATTATTTATTCAGCAATTTTTAAAGAAAGCTAACAAACACTAACATGGAAGAAAGAATTGTAATTCAGATAAATAGGTATCCTATATTATACTGTAGATGTTTGCCTATATACACTTGGTGATCATTAGCGCAAAGACTTCCAACTTTGAGAGGGAATTTATGGCACAGTTGCATCAAGGCACAGTGGGTTGCTCAATTTCTGCAGGTCTTGTGAATCGTAGGAAAGTAGTATAATGTTTCTTTTATTTTGTTGTTTTTAAGCTATTGAAAAACCACCTGTGCCCTTAGAAATGCCTGTACTAAGCACCCTATAAATGTATTTATTATTATTATTATTATTAACTGTGCAAAGCTTTAGTGGGCGCGCACAGGTGCTTGACCAGGGAGCTGCCCTGTCAATTGACATCTTTGAAACTAGTTCTCTTCATGCAATGTTGATTTTTAGTGTGTAAAAGACGTTTCTTTAGACACGTTTTTAAATAAATTTTGTATAGTCTGAACAGACTTTTAACGTTGATGAAAATAGAGTAGTCATAATGAGGTCAATTCTGTGAATCGTGTCAAGTACCAGTAGGTGTGTCATACATTTTGCTTTACCACATTTCCTTCCAGTTTTATGTCTTATGATATCCTGTACAGCAATCTGGTAATGAGTTGTCAAAATGCTGGGCAGTGATATTTTTGTTTTTCTTTGAGTTTGTTTTTCTTTTGGTTTGGTGTGAGGCTGGGGATGGTAATAATAAACAGCAAAGTGATAATGATAATAATAAATAGTAATAGCTGAAAAGGGACTTTACCTTTTTAGGTACGTGCCAGCCTCCCCGGAACATCATGGAACAAGCATTTGTTATAAAAGGCTGGTTTGTTTTACTTTGATGACAGATTTGTTTTTAAGCTACCAAGCGAAACACAACAAACCAGGGAAGCAGTGTTTGATTTTGACGGATACTTTACATCAAGTTTTATTTTATTTACAAATGTGTATAGCTTCGGAATATGCTTGATTGAATAGACACAGGGATTGCAAATTTGATCTGTAAGTTTTGATACTTTAAAGATTGTTTTTGTTTTGTTTTTTGTTTTTATATCGTAGCATGCTGCTGGCTGTTTTTTTTCTTCTCCTTGCCGTAACTTTTCTTTACTTGAATTATTTCCAGAGTTAAATGAATGATAATGGATTGTCTTTATCGATCTAATTTTTTTTTTAAATTTTACTAATTTTTCTTTTTATTCTCTTTTTTTTCTTCATTTTCCAGGTCTGATTGTCCAACTTCCTCACCAACATGCATCCTAAATTGAAGAACTTCATGCGAACAGAAGCGATGGAGTGTGAGGTCGCAACGAGCCAAGCACCAACCTCCGATGCTGCAGTCAATGCCATAGAGAACGCATCAGAACCACAGGAGATGGCAGCAACAGTTGCTGCAACACCGAGCGACCTCGGTCAAGGCGCAACTCAGGCGAGGCTTCCCGAAGAGTCGCCATGTCCTATCCGGGAGGCGGAAGACTCGAAAGAGACGCAAGCAGCTGTTCAGAAGCTGAGACGGATGCGAAGCCGGAACTCCAAGAAGAGCTGCGAGGGCAGTCATCCAAGCAACGAGGATTGCGATACAGACGATGAGCACCAGTGGTGCAGCGAGGGTATCGCTGTGTTCCTGTCACCGGAAGATAAGGGTGAGAAGAATGGGAAGGTTGAGGAGGGTGAGAGCATGGAGGTTGACCTGTCAAGGAAGACAGAGTCACACCCGAACAGTCCAACCGAACAAGAACAGAGTAGATCCATGATGGCTTGCTTTAGACCAAAGCCAAAGAACTGCTCCGCTCCAAGCCAGCTCTATCCTTTCAGTGCAGCAACGGATCAAGGTAGCCAGACACCAGTTGCATCAGGTGTGCCTTCGACGATATCCCTGTCAGCGGTTAAGCCATTACTGCCTGTCACGCTAGCTTCAAAATCAGTCCCTCCCCCATCCATTCCTCACACCTTTACACCAACCAATGATGTAGATATGGACACGGGTGAATCTACCGCTGTGTCGCAGGACAATGAGGACGATCAGTTGAAGAAGTGTAGACAGTTTGTTAAGTTGGAGGAGCCAGAAAGCGAACAAGACTGTTACGTGAGCTCACAGAGTATCCCCAATGGTTGCTTGGTTGGGAACGCTCCTATTTACGCACACAACCCTTTCACGCTCATGGGTAATTTGCCGCTCATGGTCAAAACGGAGCCTAGCCTTTCCCCGTCCTCCATAACACATCCACGAAACAGCCCCCTCACGGGCCAGTCATTCATCGCAAGGGCGTCCGGTCGTAGCAATGGACTATTTGATTTCCCCAGCCCCATCGCTAGCCTACCACCAATAAAAGCCTTGCACTGTATGCACCTAGAGGATTTGATAAGGATGAATTATATGCCTTTGAGCGCCCTTAAGCCGGACCAGAATCAACACGTCATATCGCTTCATGGACACAGAGCCAACTCATTCTTCCAGAAACCAGAGTCAAAGACACCCTCTGTAGGGGGTAACGCCGCAAAAATGTTCACATGCCAGCAGTGCGGCGCCACGTTCAAACACCGCCATCACGTGGTCCGTCATATGCGAGCGCACACGGGGGAGAAGCCATTCCGGTGCGAGGAGTGTGGGGCCATGTTTGCGCGCAAGTGCATCCTGACCAACCACATCCGGACGCACACGGGCGAGAAGCCGTACGTCTGCGGGGAGTGCGGCGACGCCTTCAGTCGGAAGCATCACCTGGTCATCCACAGGCGAACGCACACCGGGGAGAAACCCTACGTGTGTTCCATCTGCGCCACGGCCTTTGCCCGCTCGCACCACCTCAACCGCCATCTGAAGACGCACATCCTGATGCAGCAGGGCCACTTGAACGGGATGGCTCTCCATCCCGACCATGCCATCGATCTCTCCCTCCAGGACAAACTGCCGGAGCATGCAGAGGCCGTCGATTTAAGCATCCAGAAAGCTTTCATGTCGTACAACCTACCCACGACTCAGGTTCTTGAAACAGTCACTGACTGCCCCCCTCGTGTGGACCAAAAAGAAGCAGTTAAATCCTAGAAATACTGTCAATTCAAAACCGTGAAAGTGCTTTCAGGAGTAATTCAAGTTGTTCATATGTCGGTGCTTTCCCACTGGTTCCACTGGTTATGTTTCTTGTTCAAAATACGCAAGGTAAGTTTGCACGAATCATACGTGTATGAATGTTCGACATTTAAATCTATGCTGATAGTGCTCTTAGCCTCTTGTGTATTGGGCTAGGAATGGTATGGGACAGGTTGTAATAGCCGCAGTGGGAAAGTAGTTGTCTATTCTCGCATTCCATATAAAAACAATTAAAACTCATTTAACATATTGTCAAACCTGTCATAGATAGTTGCCATGCATATTGCCTCCCTCGATCTAGAAGGAAACATGTATTGAAAAACCTGTCTAGAAAGGCCACCTGTATGAAGTGGCCTCTTAATAGACAGGTTGGACTATCATACATTGAAGCACCATTTTATACACAAAAGCAATGTACAGGTTTTAGCACAATTCACTGCCTTTTAATAGTAGTGTTGGCCGTGTAGGCATGCTTGAAAATATCCAGTTTGTTTCCCAATTGTCCTTTTTGCTTGAAAGTCATTTTCATTGCAAGGACTATAATAGTACACAAACATAGTGTTTGAAATTTATATCATTTTGATATTGAATCCTTCTTGTATATGGGGTGCGAGTTTAGACAGACATTTTGATAAGCTTTGGTAGGTGTAAAATACTGTATTATGCAAAGTTATTTATTTTTATTTATTGAAATGTAACAATGCCACTGTTTGCTACTCTGTAACACAACTGCAAAATACAGTGATATTTTTATTTCATTGAAAACAAAAGAATGTTGTATGACTCTTGAAGAAGTTTCTTTGTTATTATTGTATTGTTGATCAATACATTCAGGTACAAATTTAAATGTGAGAAAAATATACTATCAGTGACTAAATACGTGCAATGGGTACAAAATTATTGGTTTATCGGTTCAAGTAGTGTGTTTTGTACTGTGCATTACATGTAAATGTAATGAATTATTCTTGTCAGAAATGGGTTTAAAAGAAAAAGACTAATGCATGCTCATCCCACCTCTCATGAGTAGGAAGGGGAGTGTACTGTAGTCTGTGTTTGCAGGCACCATTCTGGCCTTGACGTACAGGAAAGATAGCATTTACAATATAACCATTCATTTTTCATTTTTCCATAGATTTATAGAAATCAAGTATAAAATGAATGAAAAGATGGAAATATAATGTCACATGGGTATATATGACATGAGAGAAGTATAGAAAAGCTATGTAACAGTTCAAGGAGATTGAATCGCCTTTTGCATTATCATGTACATTGTACCGGTATGACAAAAATGATTTGAAAAAGAAGATATTTGACAAGCTGAAATGTTATAGAAAGGGCATCAGTTACTTGGTATGTCATTGCAGTTTGCAATTATGGGTTATAATCAGTTCTAAATGCAGTATGCTGTACTTTTCTATAGGAAAAAATTGCATTTCTCTTTCGTATTCGAAACCTTTGTATGATCCAGAGATTCTACAAGTGGATGTTTGAATGAAGAGTTTCAGTTTAGACGTGAATCACAGAAATTATGTCTTTAAATTGATATTGCAGTAAACCGAAGAGGATATTGGTATATTTGTATTTGTCATGAAATGTAGGTGCATGGTATATAGATATGATTTATATTTACCGAACAATCTATAATGTTATATACGTGTATACCCTTTCCTTTGGCATTATCGAATACAATACTGTTTAGTACTTTTTTTCCATCCATTAGGTACATTTTTTTATTTATTGATTTTCTTTGGTAAAAGCTTTTTTTTTCCTTCAAAAAGATAAAGTAGTACTTCAAGAAGTGAATGTTTATTCAAGGAGTTATTGATTCAAATGTTTAATCGTGTTTTGTGCAGGTATGTCTTTCGTGTTTAACTTGCCTTTGAAATATTACAGAGAGATATTGAGATGATTTATTATTATTCAATAGTGTTGTATTTATGCCATGTCTAAGACAAAATAGTGTGTTCAATTTCTAATTTATTTGTCAGGTAATCTTGTCTCGTTTGTTGAGTCTGTCAAAACTCCTTTGTTTATATGTATTGGTGATATGCAAGCGATTGTAAGTGATCATTGGTTTCTCAGATGAAATCATTGTTTGTAACAATGTTTTGGGGCAGGTATTGCGAAACGAGGAAAAGGATGTATGCTTTAATTTGGTGATGTGGAACTTGTGACCAGGCTAATGTGAAATTCACTTTAAAAGCAGGAAATAATGCAAGACTCCATGGGCAAATACTGTATCAACAGCTTTAGAAACAAATTGAGCCATGACATATGATTTGTATCCCCTTGGCTTTTTTGTCTTCATTTCTTCCTATTCATGTATTGAATGTTGCTCATATGAAGACCATATGTTTTTCAAGACACCCTCAATAGTATCTTGTCACTTAGTTTTCAAAGAAAAGGCATTCACAAATTAATATGTTAAAATTCATACTAATGTTAATTCAATTTTTCTAATTTTCTAATTTGCCCTGCAAGTTATTGCAACAAACAAATAGTGTTTGATTTTTTTTTGAATGCCAAATATGTCAATTTTGAGGATTAATTTGTGTGCAATTGATAATCACTGCCAATCATTTGCTGTATGTTAATGAATAATAGATTATCATAGCTAGCCTTGGGTTATACAGGCTTATCATGCGGGGGGCCAGGGATGGGGGGGGGGGGGGGGGGGGGGGGGGGGGGGGGGGGTTGGGGGGGGGGGTCAAAGTATTAACCCATGGAGTCTTGCGACTGCTTTGTCAAGAAAAGAGAGAAACAGTTCTATAATTAATTTATCCTCAAATATTTAGAGGGAAATGTGGAGTATTTATGTAAGTTATTCATATTTATTGGAGACTTATTTAAGAAGTGTATAAACACAAGCATGCAAGTAGACACAGAAAATTAAGCATGTGATAACAAGTTAGGACACGTTGGGAAGAAATTCCAGGAAATTTTAAGGAAATGTACTATCCAGTATTCGAACAGTTTATATCTATTTTAGGAATTCCATAGTTAATTTCCCTGATATGTAATTTTCAATGATACCCCCTAATTATATAGGACAATTTTTTTTGGGGGGGGGGATGGGGGGGGTTTTCTTAATTGATCAGTTTTTCTTATTCAATTGGCCAATATTGTAATGTTGCTACATTTTATGAATTAAACAATTTCATGAATCTAAAAAGAGTTGCCATGGATAAAAACATTGTAGAAACGATTTATGATTCCCAATTTCTATGAAATTTGATACAGGAAAAGTTCAACATGTTGACAATTTAATGATTTTAATGTTTGATTTCCACTAAATCACAATTGATAATTTACTTGTCCTCAAAAATTTTAAAAAGGTTATCCACCAACAATAGCTGAAGCAGTGACCTAAATCTGGACTGACCGAACAAAAGCGGACATAGTGTTTGTACAGAAATGTTTATTTACTGCTCATGCATACATGTTAAAGCTCCGACTTATAACCAACAGTTATTTAGCTGAACCACCAAATGTGGTCTGTTGTCCGGAATGGGTAAATACACAAATAGATCCTGTTTTATGTTATCACATCAAGTATCGTTGTCTTGCATTGTGACGAAATTTGTTTGATCACAAAGTGTGAATAATTTGACAACTCGTCCTTATCCTTCTTGAAGTATTTAACTTGAAATAATACATGTTTATCAAGCAGATATTAAAGTTATATGTTCAGTTAACTAGCCAAAGAATGTCAACTCGTTGATTTGAAATGTTTTCAGCAGATTTATAAACAAAGAAGCTTTATATATGGAAAAGAGAATCATTCAAAATGATTATTTATATGATGCTGTCATCAAGGAACTGTATAGGAAATAAGGATAACTGGCAGGTTTTTTCTTAATGTATTTTGTGTATTCGGTGTTGCCTTACGTGTACGTGTAAATTATTTGTTGAGATGATTTATTTTTCTACACAGCCAGTAGACTTGTAACCAGAAGCAGAGTTCTTTTTGAAATAACAGAATATTTAAGATTATTTTCAAGAAAGTATTATCGTGGAATGTTTCTTTTCTCAACTCTTCAGTATTTGTGAAAATTATGGATTGTGGTGGTGGTGGTGATAGTGGGATGGTGATGATGATAGTGATGGTGATGATGATGGTGGTGATGGGGATGGTGGTGATGACGATGATGTAGGTGATGATGATGATGATGGTGGTGGTCGTGGGGATGTTGGTGATGATGATGATGGTGGTGATGATGATGGTGGTGATGATGATGATGATGATGATGATAGTGGTGTTGGTGGTAGTGGGGATGGTGATGATGATCATGGTGGTGGTGGTGATGATTATATTAATTTCCCATCAATATCAACACACATGAATAGAAAAAAGAGATAGAAGACTCAAATATGTATTTTATATTTCCTTTTAATAATCATAAATATATCTATCCTTTATCTCACCTTTTTTTAAACAAAAGGTAAATATGCAACATAGTTTACAAGAGTTGCGAGACATGAAAAATGCAGATTTAAAGACAATGTGATAATTGGAGTAACACAGTGAAACACAATTACTCCCCCTAAAATACAAGCACCCCCCCCCCCCCCCTGTTCTTCTCAGAAACTGGGAATTCCCCCCTCTATTTCCCCACACTGATACCTTGCATCACAAATGGCATATTCCCACAGGGTTTCAAAATACACTGTACAGTTATCATTCTAGGGCAAACATACCGATTATTTCCAGGAGCGCGCTTCTGTAGAAAAACACCACAATGAGATAATAACACTAACAATGGTAGAATGGTGAACCAGTTTCCAGAGGTGACTCGTTTCTGAGAACACTCAGGGTCTTATTTCTGTAGAAATGTTTCTGTTAATGCTAGCTTGTACGTGTAGCAAGCGTTTAAGGTCACATGACATGGTACAACATTGCATGTAAGGCCCACTTTCCAGACAACCAGTGTATGTCTGTTAAAATTCCATTAGATGTGCAAATAAATGGTTCATTGGGCTTCTGTAGGAGCAGACTCCATCTTTACTTTTCGATACTGATTGCCTTTTCGGGTCCATTAATTCCAGATTGATAGACAACACCGTTATTTTCCAGGTCTCTTGTAGAAACATTTTGAATGTCTTTTAGAGTTCTTTTCAGGGTAGAGGCACTTTACCGGCTGCCCAATAGGATCCGTCTTCTGCACAGCGCCCTCTCCCAACCAGGTGGAGAGAGTTGACGCGTAGTTCTCCAAATGAAAAATCACCAAAGAGCTGTGCATAAGGCATAAAGAAAGGTATAGGATTGAATATTTTATTAATTTTATTTTCAAAATAAAAATCATTTGTTGGGTCCTAAAGACAGTTAACTACTGAATTGTTCATACCCTTTGTAAACTTGATGTTTTTTGTGTTTTTCGTCATCCAAGAATGAAAGGTGGACTCCTTGAATTATCGGAGGGCCATTGTTGAATACTTTGAGATGTCAGCTTTAATATGTCACATTTCACATACTTAAAAAATTACAAAACTTGGTAAGGGTATGAATAATTTAGTTGTTAACTTTATATACCATGCATAATGTCATCATTTGAAATTTAAGATTGGAGGAAATAATAGCAAAAATAAGTTCTTGGATTATGGCGCATATCACTGTGTGGTACAACGTCTCTATGCGCTTCATATAGGTTTTGGAAATTATCACCCTAGATTTAGCTCCACCAATCAGCACACGGTGCATTCATAGAATAAATCCTACCGGGTACCCATTTACTAAACCAGGGTCAGAACCCATGACCTTTGCATCCTAAGCCAAGTGATGAAACCACCTCTTGTATGACACCTCTCGTATGAAACCTCTATTTAAACTGAATGTATCTAAGTACGTCTTGAAAATCAGAAATAACATTTCAAAAATTGCTATCCAGCCCACTCACTTCCAGAATCTCACTCGCATCAAAGGCTTCTCTGCTTCGCTGTTGTTGACCCCTGCCTCTGCCCTCTGACCTCTGATTTTTGACCTCCGGTGCTCTGAAGATGGAGTTCATGAGGGTCGCGTGAAGCTTGACCTCAAGGTCATTCCGACTGTCTTGGCACAGCTCCGATGCCACAAATCTCTCCTGGATTCGGTTTGCGATCTCTTGTAATCTGGAGAGAAATAAAATCATAAATATCAAAATTGTCTACTATAAGCCAGTTCATAGTTGCAGTCTGAGCATGAGCAAATAAAGGTCATTACAGAACAAATTGTGAAATACACGGAGACAAAATACTTGATACATGCTCATGAAAGTTATGTAATCATTATTTATTTATGCACAAGTAGTGCACTCCATGATACACAGGTGGAAATATTCTTTGAAAGGGGGAAACAAGGGCTATTTATGTAGCACCTCCATCGCTGTAGGAGTGATTATTTCTAAGTGTACAAAGTGGGACCTCTTCGTGTTTTGAAGATCTGTGGATATTCAGGGTCATTTGGGACATGTGCTAACCGTGAACTGGTCTATTATTGAAAGTTATGTAGTACTGAGCTACAGTAAAGTGGTGGATATTATCTTTCTTTAGAATTTTAATAATGTCCAATAATTGTCCATACAGCAATAGGAAGAAAGATTAATATATGGGTGCCAACAATGGTATGGACTGCCTATGAAATTAGTTGATTAATCATATGGTTTCATTATTTATGGTTTTGGAGTTATTCAGCCAACGATGTGGAGAGAATTTTTGATATGTACTATTAAAATGATTCTTTTCCCTTATCGAACATTTATCCATTTTCATTAATCTTTGTCAAATGTTTTGTCTTACTTTCAACATCAAAATCACCTACACATATGATCATGCAACTGCCAAGGACAAGTACAAGAGCAAATTAATTTCTGTAACTTGCTACACACAGATTCATGTAAACGAGTATGCATAGTTGCTGTTTTTCATTCTTACTTGCCATTCATTCACAAATTTGTTTAAATGTTAACATACAAAATAAAACACAAGCTTCTTTTTTTTCTATCTCACTTATTGCCACCCCCCCCCCCCCCCCCCCCCCCCCTCTCTCTCTCTCTCTCTCTCTCTCTCTCTCTCGATAGATCTCTCTCTCTCTCTCTCTCAGACTCTCTCTCTCTCTCTCTCTCTATCATACCAATATCTATCCCTCTCTCCTCCTACTTCTCTCTACCTCTCTCTGTGGTAGTGGTATACCTTGTCATAAGTAAATGAGCCTTAAGTCTACTCCCAGATCGTAATCTGTTTTGATAAATACCCGTCTGTTCCGTCTTGCATCCTGACTTTTCCATAGAGGATATCTACCTTTCCAGGATCATCGTTCATGTATTCCAGTCCTGCCAGGTCAATCAAGAGAGGGTTCCCTTGAAGTATAGGACTGAGGAAGGGAGAGACAGAGAGACAGAAATGATAAACAGATTTTTTTTAATTAACTATGATAATAATCAAACGTTTCTGTATAGAGCATAGAAAATCCCGGTAGACATAGTTGAATGTCTCTATGAGCTTTACTGAGCAGAATACAGGAGTGGAAATGGTGCACTGGGTTCATAATTGTGAGAATTGTGTTAGAACTCTTGGTCAGAAACTAAAAATCTTTTTTTTCTTTCTCTCTTGTTGCCTTATTACCCCTCCCTCTCTCTCTCTCTCTCTCTCTCTCTCTCTCTCTCTCTCTCTCCATTTATCGCTTTATCAGACTATCTTTCTATCATACCTCTATCTACCTCTCTCTCTCTACCATTCTCTCTTCCCCAACCGCTTTCTCTCTCTCTCTCTCTCTCTCTCTCTCTCTCTCTCTTTCTCTCTCTCCACCCCCCCCCCCCCAAACTGTATTCCTCCATATCTTTCTACAAACAAGGATGTTTAGAACTTACCCCATAGAGTACCGGTATTTCCATTCACCAACATTTAACCATGCTGCAGAACACGTTTCAATTCATTTTTCTTAACTTCATCAAAAATTTGTATTCATCGGCCAAAAAGAGCTTATATAAACACTTACTTGATAATATTTTCCAGACAATCATTGAGAATTTCCAGTGCTGCTTTCTGTTTGGAAACAAAATATTAGGAGAATTTCCATGTCATGGTAAAAAAATAAATAACATTTTAGTACAAATTAGGTTTACTACTTGCTACTTAACTACTTCTATCAAGTCTGATTTATCTGTTAAAAGAATCATTTTAATTAAGGGCTAACAAAATTTTGAACAGTGCATCAAATATAAAGCCCTTCCACGCAGAGGTGTCGTGGTCTAGTGGATATGTCACAGGACTGAGGATCACATGGTTTGCGGTTCAAGTCCCGATAACCTAATTTCAAATGTTATACCCCCATGAAATAAGTGTTATGCCTAATATATGTATGATACAACCATAAACATTAAAAATGCAACACTTAAAAGTCTATGAACGCCATTGTTTAAAAAAGAATTCCAGCAGAGTAGGGGTCAAAGAAGAAATACATACCACTTCTTTTTTGGTCAGGAGCACCAAAGTAACGATGGTCAGATGGAGTTTTTGAGGAATCTGGAATATCCTCTCATCAACCCCTGAGCACTAGATAGGACAGAGGACAAAACAAAACAGATTAACTTTGAGGAGGCAGTGTGGCGCAATCGGATCGTTGTCTCGCTCTCTTTTGTCATGCGTGTGGGTTCAAGTCTACATGTAGCTTAGTGAGTGTCCAAAGAATTAAGTATCAGAGGGGACTAATAATGAAAATACAGTTTGTCTATGATCTTAGTAAACATGAACCCCCCCCCCCCCCCACCCTACAAAAAAATAAGAATTATAATAAGAATAAGAATAATAATAACGATAATAATAATTATAGTAATAAAAAGAAAAGAACAACAAAAAAAAATTGAAAAAAAGTTTTAAAAAATTATCAAAAAAAAATTAAAAATTAGATATCTCTTTATAGAACTACATTGCATCATTAGCAGCTCATACATGTATTTTTAATATGATGTTGCAGCACCGAATCCCAAACATTCAAAACAAAATATCTTTCAGCCCTACTTACATGTTTACATTCCTTCAAGACGTCCTCTCTGAATGCCTGAAACCTGTCCATGATGTCCTGGCTGTTGAGGGGGACGGCAACAAAGTGCGTAAAGGGGGTCTTCTGACGAGCGCTGGCGGCCATGACATCGATTCTGGTCTTAGCGGAGGACACGCCCTGTCTCGTCTTACCGCTGATGGCTGGCAGAATCACAATTAGGGAGAAAAAGGAATTAATTTTCATTCTCATTCATTTATTTTCCACAATCCAGTCAAAAATATATTAAATCACATTTGTAAACATAGTAAAACAAAAAAGTGGGCGGTCATTGGAATACAAGTAGCCTCTGTACCTCACACATTTTTGTCCTTGGGTAATTTTAAAGGCTATAGAATGTATCAATCGCAACTATGTACATAAGAGATAGGAGACTGCAAACTTGTGATTGAATAGGAGGACTTGCGATTGATTCGGTTTCATTGCAACTCTTTATAAATATAAGATGGTGCCCAGTTATCATCATTGCTATAAACCAAAATGTTGAGGTGCTTACTTATTTCGTCGATATGCTCATTGCCCCTCGGAATGTGGATCTGGGTGCGCGTCTCATGCTCAAGCCTCTTCTTCGTTTCACCTCTGGACCCTATGATCAGCCCGAAGAACTTTGAGGGAACGTCGATCACCAACCGGTAGCCGTCCCTCGTCTTCTCCATCTCCAGGGGGTCACATGACACATTCTCTGCCGTCTCTGCCTCGTACATTTCCTCATCATCTACAGTATATTCAGATATCACATTATGTTAACAAAAGTATGTATCATCTTTTCGGGGTCAGAAGGGCTCATACATTTTCTCATCATCTACAGTATATTCAGATACAGGTATATCACATTATGTTAACAAAAGTATGAATTGTCTGTTTGGGGTTGGAAGGGCTTTTATTTCTTTGTTACATTATTTTTTAATTTATTGATTTTCTATGCATATTTTGTTTTCAAGACGTATCGTAAAACGCCCTCTGAGGAACTGATACTTCAACAAGCTCTGCTTCGAGTTAGTTCCTCTTTTCTGGAGCCATTACTATTATATTTGTCTTGTTTCATTGTATATTTTTTGTAATATACTTATTCATTGTATTATGTTTTGCATGAGAAATAAAGTCGTTTGACTTGAATTGAATTGAACTCTGATAGAAGGGCATTAATTTATATCAAAGTTAAAGCCCTTCCGGGCCCCCGTTTCATAAAACTTGTTATCACTAACAAATGCTAAATATCTACGTCAAATTTGCTCTCAGCCAATCAAATGCCATAATTTCAGTAGCTTATAACAGTTATTGTAACTTGTTTTTGATAACAATATTCAACATGGTTTCAATTGAATATTAATTGCCCCCATTTAAAAGTCACAATCACCCCAAATTTTTAACCATTTAGAAATTACCTCTTCTTTTTTTTTACAATTTCAAATTTACCCCAAACATAGCAGATGGTGTAAATCCTCTGGTTCATTGTTATAATCGGCAAAAGGTATTGACTGAAAAAACCTGGGGGGGGGGGGGGGGGGGGGGGATAGGGAGATGGGGGTCTCATACATTTTACAAGCTATCTATCCTTGCCATCTGCAAAACTCTTCCTATTTTACTTACACATTTCATCATCTTGTTCGGTGTATCCTCCTTGTTCTTCATAGGCGTTCCCAGGCAGATGTGGAGATGTCATTTGGGCGGGGTTCCGTCGGTAACAACGTCCTCCTATGGTGACGATTGGGGGCCTAAGCACATCCATGATGATTTAAATTGTTTGTTGACAATGCGATTGCTAGAGAGTCCTTGGTGCTCTTTGAAATGAAATGCAAAGGTGTGATAAAAAAAATTGTAATATGTTAGTATTTGGTGTCCACCTTGCCAATGGAACAAGTCATGTAAATTATGAGTGGCTCTTCTGCTTGATCTAAAATTGTATTTATAATCATTATTTAGACCAAATCTAGAAAAGTCGAATTTGGTAGAAAGGCCTACTCATGAGCAAGCAGTTTAAGTACAACTTTTGGCATTTCTATTTCCTCTTCCCCCTTCATCCTACTTGTTTCATGTGCTTTCATTGTACACTGAATGTAATTAAACCTTTGACCTCAGGCCACTATCTTCAGTAGTTTCACATTTTAATCAACCAATTGTTTCGTTTCAATTCAATCTAAATCTAATTTTATTCCTCTCTTGTTCTGTCACTTTTGTCAGTGTCATCATGTCTTTCGCCATTTTTGTTTTTAAAATAAACTATTCTTAAACAGTCGATTATCAAGTTAGAGAAACACAAACATCACTCATTGTCATACATTACAAGAATATCACGAACAATTTGAAATCTGAACACTTCCTAAGTCGTCTTTCATACCAGTCCCACACGTTCACATTCATGATGGAAACACTGGCTACAGTACTTCTCTGAATCTCTCATCTCGTCTTCTTGATACCATGCACCGATATCGGAGTGAAATGACATATGAGATTACATCTTTCAATTCAACACAAAATTCCTCTCGACATAAAATACAACAAACATGCTAAATAATGGACTTAGACATCTATTTGTAATTTCTTACCCAAATCCGTTCACATTCAACGTTAGCAGAAGACGAAACCAAATCAAATGTGAAAGAGCGCCAACTACACTTACAATCATTATAGTTTTTCTGATTATTTCTTTCAGCAGCTAGCTAGCTAGAGATAACATCTATTATGATATCTCCTCCAAAAGTGTTTTCTCCGTAGGCCCTATCATCTTTTTTTCATAGAAAGTCCGACGACCCTATCCAGGCACAATTTAAATGGAAGGGAAGGGGGAAATGAAGAAAATGCAACATTTCTCATGAGTAGGAGCAAATTTTTTTTAAATCCCCGAGAATCGTAATTGATATGTAATTGCAATATCAAGTAGTTGTGTATTTTCATGTCTGAAATCGGGAACAACTTCGATTAGTAATTTTCTATTTTGCAGTTTGTTACACCTTGGTATTTCACTTTGTAGTATAGAATCTACATGACTATTATGTTTTGTTTCTAGTCGGGAGCAACTTCGATAAGTATATTTGCTTTTTTTATTTTTTCAACATGTATTTCCCTTTGTAGTATCGGGGAGTTTTATAATGTGTATCTATTTTGTTGCGTTTAAGTGTAACATGGAATTTACTAATCAGTCATCAACCCAAAAATTATATTCCCGTGACAAAAATAATTCCACCGGCACTCCCACAAGACTTAATGGCAATGAGATGAAAAGGGATTACCCCCGCCCCCCCCCCCCTTTCCCCCCTCCCGGGATACAGATGACAATCGATAGAGTTCGAAGCAAAAACAACAACAACAACAACAACAACAAAATAACTCCAACAAAGACTCGATACAGATATTGTGTATATCATTTCATTAATTTTCGAAAAAATAGTTATGAATCATTTTAATGTCTACGATGGGTTGTGGTAAAAATCATAGTGCCTTGATTTGGAGTATCTAGTTTTTCTTTCCATTTAAAAAAGGCCTAGCTACACCAGCGCCATCGAATCAGAAGTAAATCAAATCCTAATCATTAGAATAGAAACATTACCCTCTTCTCAATGTGTAGCTGCTTAAGAATTTAATTGAAATAGTATTCAAGTATCAGCGACATAGAGCCAGAATTTCAATTGGGGGTACTAAAGGGCTTTGTGCGAGGGGAGGGAATGGGAGCGGGAAAAAAACACCTTTGTGTCACTGTTTCATAATTATGTACATAAATTTCATTTCATTTCATTTTTATTTTTCATTTCCAACAAAATACAATACATAATAACGAATACAATGTAAAATGTATACAAAACATAGATACATTGGTAATAAACAAATCTTAATAATAATTTATACATTTTTGGGAAGACAAAAAAATGAATTTTAAAATTTAATTGCATTTATATTTTGAGAAAATGGAGAGGTCCACTAAAAAGCAAAGCTTGTAAATTGTGGACCCCTCAGATAATAATGAGTGTGAACAAAATATTGAATACATAATCAATGAAAGACGAATAGTGGCCAACAGAGAACATTTATTAAAACACGTAATGACTGTAAACAAGAAGACGTAACAAATTACATGACGAAGAAAGAACAGAAAAAAGAAGAAGAAAAAAAAAGGGGGGGGGGAGGGGGGCAAATGCGGGCTGCGTTTGGAGGGAAGGAGAGTGAGAAAAAAGGAAAGTTGTCGGAGATCGAGCACGAAATAGGGAGCGCACAAAATCCTTGAGACAGCTGAAACAAAAAGAGCAAGAACATGATGGCAAGTAGTTTTTTGTTTTGAGATGGGCTGAAGAAAAGAGGGAAAGAAAACAAAATTGGGAAGGAGATGTTCTATAAATAATCAGAGGGAGATAACGGGCGGGAGGGGGAATAATGTTTAAGATTTGAAACATGATATTCTTTTGCATAAAATTTGTTATCAGTGCTACAATCTTTGACAGTATCATAATTGTCGTCTAACACATGATTGTGGGATGGAGGCACACCCCGGCCGCCGGCCCAGTCGGTGGGGGCACATCGGCCCATCCCCCATGCTCCGTCATAAAGACCACAGGTTTACATCGCACCCCTCCTGTGTATCTCCTTGTGGCATCTTGTCAAATTTTCGACCCCATTTTTAGGTTTGTCTTCTCACTGCCGCTATTTTGAACAGCCCATGCCTTGCCCTTGCCCCTTGCCACGCCGCTTATCAGATGATGATTTGTTATTTAGATGGGAAACTTGAAATCTGCTCTCAGAATTACAAAGTTATTCAAGTTTCCTAAAACAACATAATTATCCCCCCCCCCCCCCCCACTAGAGTAGAATAGTATGTCAGGATAAAAAAGCATTCTTTTTCATCATAGTTATCGATCATTTTATTCTTACTTATTTGCCAAGCAAAGCCTGTAATTGTATGAAAAGAAAAAGATGCAAACAACAATTAAAAAAAAATCGCATCTCCAGCTTAGGGCATTCATACAAAAAGGTGAATCATGATCAAAGACGGAAAACTACCAGCTTAAAACAAAAAGCAATTCCCCACCATTTGGCAAGATAACGACTGACTTCATATACAGCTGATTCAATAACCATCCTGCCAATAAAACAAAACGACAACAACAACAACCAAACCTACAAATCCATGAACGCAAAATTAAACTATTTAAGTCATATTTTTATTATAAAATAATAGAATATCTTCCTAGTGAAAACTTATTAAATCGTCGAAAAATGCAAAATCATGTACACTGTACAATGGTCAGCATGTATTCTTTCCGCGTATTCTTCTAATGTTATTTGACACCCAAGTGGCATACTCTTAATATCTCCCCTAAAACAAATAATAAAAGTGAGCCCCTGTCATTATTTTCCCCCTTTTCCCATAATTATTCCCAAAACAGTAATTTCTTATAATATTCTGAATCGAGTCAATCATAGAATTGACTAGCCGTATCATAATAACACACAAATCAAAATGCCCTTTTTAAATGTTAAAATTATCATAAAAAAGACGTTGCTATCTAATTCTAAAAATCTTTAGCAAAATTCAATCTGGCTGTCGAAAATCGTAATGTAGTCATAATTTCGTGTGTGATCTGGCGCCATCTCGTGTTCAAAGCTTTCTCATTTATTTTCAGATAACATCGCGAATGGGTTACAGTGCGAGGGGTTTGCCAAAGATATTTTGGCTCAATATTCGGCGTAATTGGCACCTTTCCATTGGAATATAGAAGGGGAATCTTATATGCCGTGTTTCCATGTAATCAGGTCAGTTTATGATTGTAGATTTTTAGTGTTTTTGAATGATGATAAACAGTGGAGAATGTTGTCTTTGTGTTGTGCTTGATGACTCCTTGTTAGTAATAGAATAACGCACTGTCCGCCTGCTGTGCAGTGCCAGTGCGTTGAGTGATAAGATGGGCGAGAGACCGTCGGTATAACTGGGCGTGAATGAATATGGCTATCTGCATGGATGGAGTGTTGCAGCGAGCTGAGTTGAAGGAATTGGTCGTTAAGCATTACATTTTAAAAGGCCCATTTAGGTCATTTGGAGTAATTGAGGATACTAGATCTATGAGTTATAAAGTATCATCACATAGAATAAAGTATATTTTTAACTGTTACGTATTGAAGATCGAATCGTAAGAACTAATTGTAGTCTAAAAAAAATGATTCATGTCATGGTTGATTACAAATTGGAGAAGCATAAAGGCAAGCTATGATTAGCAGAGGGCTCCACGGTATTTTTGACTTAGCAAAGCAGAAGAAATAGATTTGGGCGCCATTTCATGAAACCGTCTCAGGACGCAAGAACAAAATACATATGTACTACCAAGTTTACTGACTTAAGTTTGAATTTAATCTGACAAAAAATGGGAAACTTATGATTTTTGAATTTTTGAAAGATGTATCACGACACTAGATCTAGACTATAGGTAATTAGGTATGAGCTCTTCAAATTGGCTGAGTCAGTAATGTCTCTGTAATGTAGTGGCGGACGACTCTTACATTTGTTCCACCAAACAAGATTAGTTTTTTTTTAAATAAAAAATGTATGACTCAGGAATATGATATGCTATCTGTAAGATAAATTTGGAGTAGTGCTCCAAGGGAGAAGGGACTTGGGAGAAAGACACAAAAAATAATATCTATTAAGTCGATATTTTGGTAAACATCAAACTGGAAATTTGTCTGTTTTTACGTCGCAATCCACGGAGATTCACATTTATTAAGTGATGTCATATTTCAAACATTCATAAATCTCGAATTGTTGGTCCATATTTATTCAAAGCATTGGCCATTCTGTTTATCTTATTTTACTGCTTTCATTCAAACATTTGTAAACAAAGAATCTTTTATGATAAATCAAACTGAAAATACAAAAGTTATGGTTATTGACAGTGTATTTCATTTTTTGTGACAGCTGAGTGGATCATTGAAATGAGTCAGCAAATTAATTGTAAATTAACAAACATGAAACACTCCTCAATTGACTGCATTATTAAATTTAGTCTATTGCCAAATATTAATGTTTCACACCCATCTCAAAACCAAAAGAGGATAGAATAAGTGTTCACGTTTTTTGTTGCCAGTGATGTGCTCGTTAGTGGATTTGTAGCTGCTCTATTTTTTCCTTTCTCTTGCGAAAAAGAGGTGTAGATGGATTGGCCTTTACACCAGTTGCTCAGTCTGCAGCACACACGATTCTCTACACACGGGACTGGGTGCATGCACGCACGCACCAGATGATCTAAAAGCTGTGTGGCCTTTTAATGGGAAGTCGTCAACTTACTCAGCATGAGTCAAAAGGATACTCAAAATTAAGAGCATCTGATTTTCATTTGAATGCAACCCGTCTTCGCAGCGGTAGGGACAGGTAGATGTTAGTGTGTGAGTGTGACTAGCCTGCATAGTTACTCCTGGTTCGACTGCATAGAGAACTGGATACGAGGGATAAATAAGGAAAGATAATTGTGCTAGCGGAAAACAGGATTCTGTCGACTTGGACTGATACATTGTACATTGTAAGTGGCTTTTATTTACTGAATATATCGCAAGAGTATGTAGGCTTGATTCAATTTCTAGTTCTAAATCTGGTGTCAATGTGTATAATTTGTAGTTGTATGTACATGTACTTGTAAGAGGATGAATCATGAAAGAGTGAAATTGTCGATAACTACCTAAATCTTTTATTATTCTTGATAAAGAATGGAGGAATATTATGCTGTTATAACTTGTGTGGGGATTACTATTTAAGTCAATAAAATGCATGTGCACCACTTGTTATTTGCTGCCAAATTTGTGTTCAGAGCATCAAACATTTTGTAGGCTATCATTTGTTGATTGTTTTCATGGAAACCCTTCTTCTTTGTGTGTGGATGTAAGTGGAAGGTACTGAGAATATTTTCTCTAGGTATTAGAATAAGGACTTCATTTGTGTCCCCAGCAGAAAGGCACAGGCACAAATTGTTGTTTTATTTTTAAATTCTTCAGATTTAAAAGCATTAGTAACAATATCACTGTTAACCATTTGGACAATGTACCAACTGTTTTTCTTCTTCTGTATACTGAAGGGAAAAAAAGAATTTTTTGAATTTATTTATACTCCTAGAAACTTAAATAATATTGTCAGTTCATCCACACACACCTTTCTGTCAGATCTATACACAATAATTTACTACCCTTAGGACGAACACTGGGAGCATCAAACAGGCAAAGAGCAGAAATTGGCAGCCATAATAAAGACCAGCTGCGAATAGATAGATAGATCTGCATTTTCCATTACTACTCATGGAGGCCAAGTCTATTACTGTGCATTCAGACTAACAGTAGTCATTGTACAAGTCTGGTATAGCTTGTTTTTAGATACGATTTGAAGTCATTACATTTTTCCTAGTCTGAATGTCTTATGAAGAAAGGTTGTACATGTATAGCGAACGTCTGTTTGAGCATCGTTTCAAACAAAACTTGATAAATAATCAGCATCCCACTCTACATGTATTTTGACCGTTGTATCGTACAAAAACGGTATAACTAGGCGGGGCTTATTGTGAACGCCCACTGATGATTGGCTAGCTCTCATGTGTTTTTACCTCTTCATATCTTTTGTATCTTTATACTTTGTTTCATTATACGTGTACATGTACATGTACAGTACCATGTTGCTTTCTAGTTTTTGCGCTTCTTTCTGTACATACGATGTTTCTTTAAATGAGTTTCATATAAATTTCCTCGAGTCTGAACGAGCTATTAAACCGTCCAATGGATCTGTTTCGCTCGAATCACACCAAGGGCACAGCACTACAGCTGTAGGTTCATTACCCGAATTGATTTGTGTGGAAAGTGAAAACAAGTGTGTACGATAGTTCATTGAACTTGTTAAGTGCAGGTCATGCACTGTACATACATGTACAACTTGCAGCTGGTTAATAAAGCACCTGTCTATTATTAATGTCTAGCTTTCTCTTATGCAGGATACACTTCCGTGATTAAGGATCTGAACATTACTCCACTTAAAATTAAAGTTATTTTGTATTAGTATAATGGAAAAAATAAATGATGTTTGTTACAAAAATTTCTTCTGATGGAATATGGGCTTACAGCTCCTAAATGAAATGTATAAGGCAGCAAATACTGCAATATATCTTTCACAAGTAAGCCTACAATTCTAACTAAATACAAATTACTGAATACAAATTATAGATTCTACAGTACATGTACATACATTGTACATTGTAGCTTCTAATGTACATGCTTCTAAAAGACAGCAAGCTCGTATCATATGCCCAATTTATTTCTCTCAATAAGTGTGTACATGCAGTACAACTTCTCGATGAATATAGCATTTTGAAGATATTAATTCTTACAATAATCACATTCACATGTGTACATAGTCCTGCATGCACATGTCTTATGAATAGAGGTTACCCACAAATAGGCCAAATTGGAAAAAACCTCTGCAGTACCTGTACATGTGTAGATGTGTATTTTTATGTTATTGACATGACCTTCACATATACAGGTTTTTATTGTATAGACTAAACAAAGCAAAGCAGCAGGATTTATTGTGTTAGTATGAAAAGTCGATGTTTACAGAGTCACAACAGTGATTGGTTCATGACCATGTCAAGCTACCTGCAGGGTAGGGTAATTCATACATGTACCGTACATGTACGTATGTGTGCATGTAGGAACACACATGTACATTACATTGTACAATGTATCTTACTGCTCTTGATTAACAGCCTGTTCATACTAAAGAAAATTATTGTATGAAGAAACGTCATGTACAGAACGTGTAGTGAAAGGAGTGAACAGACTAGAAAACAACATCATTATAATTGTGTAGAAACTAGTTTGATGAGTTCAGTTGACTTTTTCAATGACATGATTGCTGGCCAATCGTAAGTGCGTGCTCACGATAAGCCCCTGCCATTTAAACAATTTTCATTACGATACGGCGTTGAGACTACAATGAGACCCTATTCTTTATCAAGTTTTGTTTTCAAACATGAATTTCGCTATACAATTTTTTGTGGTGTTCAGACTAGGAAAGGTAATTACGCATTGTATAGCTACGTGTGTACAATTCTTGTATGTACGTGTGACATACACTGTACATGTACGTGGACAATGATTTTGGTAGCCTGAACGCAAAGTAACAGTCTCCTTGAAGCGCAGTGAACAAATAATGTTGGCTGAACATGTACATTGTACATGTACTGTATGTTCTACAATGAATGTTTTTATATCTTTTGAAAATGACGTTATGGATTTTCTATTTATCAAAGGTCATTTGAGAGTTAATGTTATATTGTCATTCTACATTTCGTTAAGCTCTTTTACGTTCTTATGAGATAAACGTGCCACAGGGGGAAACATGTTATTGAATTTGTACATGTGCAAATATGTTTAGTAGATTTGACTTTATCTAAGCATCTGGGTGATGTATGTACAATGCATGTTTTATACCAGCTGTGTAGGGCAAAGTGAGAAAACAGTTTGTGAAAATGATCATGACTCTCAAGAAAGATATCCCAATGTACTGAGAGAGAGACGGACAAACAGAGTGGGGTGGGGGAGTACAGGTAATGTAACTTTTGCAACATGAATATTGTACCATAATACGACAGCAGTTGTCACGGCTTGAAAGTTAAAATGGACACCCATGGAATTTGTGAATTGGTTTTGCATGCATTTTTTTCTCCACTTTCTAAAACATTTGCTTTGCTTCGCAAACGAATAGGGTAAATAAGAATTTTTACTTTTCTTGCCCCCTGGGCACTTTTTGGCTGCCCTGGACAATTGGGTAATTTTCGTCACTATTGAATGGGGACATTTGCTAGAGTTCTATTTGCTCAAGCCACGCTGACTTTTGACGTTACATGCCCATTAGAGGCCTATACATGTACATGTATAGGGCCTACATTGTAGGCATCTTGCAGCCTACTGTACATGCATGTACATACAATGTACATGTAGGCATACAATGTGCATGAATGTACAATGTAATGTACATGTACATACAGTGTAATGTACTACATGTACATGTACATGTACATACAATGCAATGTACATATGTATACAAAACATGGGTACCGTAAATATATCATTTGAAGACATACAGCCATGTACATGTACATGTTGGTAATCTCTTACAATAATATGTAGCTGCAGACTGCAGTGTAACATGCCATTGCTGGTGGACTTTGAAATGGTCTGATGATAAAACAATTGATAATGAGTAAACAATGTGTTTTGGGAGCATGCATTGTGCGGAGGTATTTGCCAGGCCCACTGAAGGAGAATAGATACTTGACCTCGAATGTAGGAGATGATAGCGATTGTTGACTGTTGATAGGCAAAACAGGGCGATCCAGTTACCCATTGTTTTACGGTATTCACGCTGCCCTCTTTATGACCCATTCAGCATGGGTTCCAATTTGCATGCGTTTTTTTTTCTTCTGTACCCGGTATACAAAGTCCAAGGCCAATTTACCACATATAATGTGCATATACATTGTACTCCGTTTTTAATACTTGATGTTCCTGTGACTTTCCAGTTGATGGAGTTGAAATATTTGATACCGGTACCCTTTTGTTATGTTTTCTATACAGTGCAGGTGGACTTTTTGTAATTAAACATAGTTCAAATTATATGATGCAAAAGTTTGCAAAGTTTGTGGTCAGACTGACAAACTTTTCAGGGGGTGGGGGGGGGGGGGTAGGATTTTCCGGAATTTCTCTCTTGCTAATTATCGCCATACCACATTTCTATCTCATACTTGGTTGTCTGTGTTCTTCTTACCCTTCCATTATCCCTTTTCTGTTCTCTTCCCTCTCTCTTTCTCTCTCTTTCTCTTTCTTTCTCTCTCTTCGTCTCCACCAGTCTTTGTCTATTTTGCTCATTATTTTGAAATAGGCCCTCAATCATGTTCCTTGCTGTTCCATGCATTCTCAATTGTCCTCATTTTTCTTACTTTTCTCTCCTTGCCTTTCTTTCTTTCTCTCTCTCTCTCTCTCTCTCTCTCTCTCTCTCTCTCTCTCTTTTTCTCTTTAATCATCCCACACTGGACCCTCTGTATCATCTGTAGCCTCACATTCCACACTCTGTCTTTCTTTCTCTCTCTCTGTCTGTCTCTGTCTGTCTGTCTTTCTTTCTGTCTCTGTCTGTCCCCTCTCTCTCTCTCTCTCTCTCTCTCTCTCTCTCTCTTTCTCTCTCTCTCTCTCTCTCTCTCCCCCCCCCCCCTCTCTCTCTCTCTCCCTCCCTCTCTCTCTCTCTCTCTCTCTTTCTCCCTCTCTTTCTCTTTCCTTGTCTCTTTGGCAAGTCCAATTGTCCCTGATTTCCATAGCCTCTTATGCCCGGAGGATGTTGACAAAGCATCGCGATTCAGCAAGTCCAAATGTCATGCAATCTTTGACAGTGTAAGGTTTGAAAATATGTGAGAATAGAATAATACACACCAAATGGACAATATATTATTATCATCTACACTGTACATGTACATGTAGCTTTTCTTCAAGT